CGCCCCAGGGCCGGGATGCAACAGAGGTGGCACCGCCGCATCCTTCCCGCTAAGGCGCCTGTGTCCCCACAGCGTGCAGAGCTGCTTTTGCTTCTCCTGCGTCCCTCCCCGGCCTTTCACGGGCGATTTGTCTCGCATGCAGGGTTAGTCATCACAGCCTGTGCCAATCTCCCAGGTACGTGACTGATATTTTATCCATTAACGTGTCGCTCACCCTCCAAACAAATGCAGGGGTTGCAAAGCCAAAGGGAAGATTGGAGGTGACTATATACTCTGAGCTTCGCATTTACCTCGGAGAGGTTAGCCTTAAAAGGGAGGAACAATTTTGCTGTCACAGAGGGAAGTGGATATGCTTGTGTGGGTGAGCAAATTGAAGCACCAAGTCAAACACCCAGCTGACATTCCCGAAAATTCACTGCGCTATGCAATAGCCTGGCTTGCTGAGAAAATTACCCATTTTTCTCAACCATTTTGCTGCTTTGGTAGCTACCACCAAGATGGAAATTAAATGGCCACTCAGTTCTGTGAGTTTGTAGTGCACTGATCATCCCGTCAGGCTTCATTATTTTTGCAGTGCTGAAATATGAAATTTTTGTTCTTGTTTTGGGAACTGCAAAGTATGATCTCTCCCAAGTGAAATGGGCTCCTCAGCTTGCTTTGCAGCAGCTTCCTGATATAGATGTGATTCCTGCCTATCTCTCCTGCCATCACCCAGCAGCTGTATCAGCTGCCCGAGGAGCAAGGGATGGGGAGCTCAAAGATCCTAGTATCACTCCTGGGTATTGGGGATGTCCCAGACCCATGTAGCCTGAAAGCATTGGGCCCTGGGATGGGCTGTCAGAGGGACCAAGGATTCGGCAGAAAGCCAGACTGATGTCTGGTCACACCTGACTGGCAGCCAAGTGGGGAAACCTGCTCACAACCCGTCGGAGGATCTGCCAGAAGTGATCTCTTGCTACAAAATGTGTTGCTTAGGATTAAACGGGTCCCTCCAAGGCAATCAGCGCCTCTGAAAAATTTCCAACTGGTCCTATAGCTGATCACTCCTGATTTGGCTTGTGCCAAAAAATGCTATGTGTTGTCTCTGATAATTAGATATCATTTAGATAATTAGATATCAATTAGATATTAGATAATTAGTAGAGGAAGAGTCCCTGAGATAAACACATACTCAAGGGAAGAAATGTATTTATGTGACTAAAATATAATTACCACAGGCTCCCCCTGCCCTGAAAGGGACAAGATTTTTCTTTTATTTTTCTTTTTTTCTGCTTTCACTTGATAGTAGTATAGTGCTCATTAGAGAAAAACACAACAAGGTATCAGGAATGGAAATGGAGACTTCAGGCTTCCTGAGAAGAGGCAAGTACTTCTGAGGGGTAAAATAAGCTGTAGTAGATAATGCAGAAGCTGTGGGGCCACTGGCAGTGATTGGGGAACCTTGGGGAAACCAGAGTGTGCTGAAAGCTCTAGTACCCAGTGGTTGTCAAAATCATCTGAAGATGTAATCTACCATTTCAATGATGTGATTTAGCTTCTGTCTCTCTCTCTTTACTGATAAGAACTAAGATGACAACAACTTTCCACTTGTTCAGATGCAAGAAAGATTCCTTTACTCAAATAAAAAGAAGAACACGCTTTTGGTCTGAAGTTTGACAGAAGAATGGCCACGATGGTTCCTTGTACACACGTTTGACTAGAGAACAAGAGACTTACTTTAGCTGTTTTGCATGTCTTTGCTACCTGCGTAAAATATTTCACCTTCTTTATCCACTGCGGGGTGGTATGAATTTGTAGGGAAGGGGTTCTGCAACCAGCTTCTAAGCTTCCCCACCCCACAGTGTCCCATGTCCCTAGGGAAATGTTTCCACACTGACCCCAGAGGCATGGCCATCGGACTAACCAAGGACGTCACATGTCATTGCGTGTGAATGCAGCCCCCTGTGATGATGTTCCTCCTTGCTGCTTGGCACAGGATGAAGCCAAGGAGCAAGTGGTCTGTTGACAGTCAGATGTACGGTTTCATGCATGCTCTGAGATGACAGGTTCCCAAAGGCAGCCTCCAAATCTCTGAAAACACTGCCCCAAAGCACCTTATGGCAACTGCACTCTGAGGGAACACCCCAAAACATGCCTGCACATGGTGTGAGGTTTCAATCATCACACATGTAGGTAGGGTAGCAGGTGGCAGGCACCCAGCACTTGCAAAAAATTTATTTCCCTAATATCTAACCAGTCTTTCACAAACCCCTGACTTAATCTTCTGTCCTGGCCCACATCCAGTTTTATCAAGACATCCACCAGTTAGTGAATGGATTGTTCACCAAATGTCCAGCTCCACCTGTATTAACAAGCAGGATGAAGTGCAGGCTGGCTGGCCACAATTTTGGGCCAAGGCTGAGGCAGAACAGCTTGTTTCCATGTCCACAGCATGTATTGAGCCTGGTTTGGAGCTGAGAGGGTCTGTTTTTGGGGGGGGACCGGGCAGGTTAGGGGTCTGCCCTCTAGCTGCCCTGTCCTGCACTGGAAGCTGGCTCTCCTACTGCACAGCCAATATCTGTCTCATTTCTCAGATCTCCGCCACTCTATCAGATTTGCTTGAAATTCTCAATAGATTCATAAATTATTCAGGGAGAGAAGGCAACATGAGCAGGCAGATAACCAGGAGGACCCCACAACATCTCATATTTACCTAGAGGATGGTATCTGTCATGCAGGTTATCCCAGAGAAAGCGGCCATCTACCAAGCCTGTTAAAATCACATGGCTGCCGTTTGGAAGATGGGAGTCCAAGTACTGCAGAGCTTGCACCACATTGGAGAACATTTCTTTGGGTGTAGTCATGTAAGCCAGTGTGTCACGGTTCCTGCAGAAGAAGAAGATGCCAACAGGAATCTGTTGTAGTGTCAGGTAATACTGTGCCCCCAAAGATGCACCTGAAACAGTGGCATTTTCTTCTTTGCTGTTCTTCCACATTAAGTTAGCTAAATAAAACTTTATAAAAATGATGCTATGTGTTTTAGTCTCTCATTGTTATCGCCAAAATCAGAAGTGATATAGAAACCTCCCCTGGTGTAACCCTTCTCCCCACTAAAAACAGACAGATGCATCCCTTTTTGTAGAGTGGCCTCCTGTTGTGGGTTAACCCCGGTGGGCAGCTAAGCATCACACAGCCTCCCCCCACCCCCAGTGAGGCAGGAGAAGATGAAAGGAAGAGTAAAAGCAAGAAAACTTGGGGGTCAAGTAAAAAAAAAAGGGTAAGAAAAAAAAAGTTATTGGTCAATAAGTGAAGGAGAAGTAGAAATGAGAAAGCAAGCAAAAGCAGTGACTCATCACCTCCCATAGGGAGACCAATGCCCAGCCAGTTCCTGAGCAAAAGATGGCTACCCCCCTCCTAAAATCCCTCCCTCTCCCTTTTTATTGCTGAGCATGATATTATATGGCAGGGAGTATCTCTTTGGTCAGTTTGGGTCATCTGTCTGGTTGTGTCCCCTCCCAACCTCTTGTGCACCCCCAAGCTATTCACTGGGGTGGCAGAAGAGAAGGCCCCAACGCTGTGCAAACACTACTAAGCCACAGCTGAAAAAGTGTGTTATCAGCACTATTTTGGTCAAAAATCTAAACCACAACACCACAGGAGCTGCTATGAAGAAAATTAACTCTATCCTAGCCAGGCCCAGCACACCTCCATAAAGAAAAAAGCCTTAGCTCTCCTGCTGGTTTTGTTCTATGGAAATGCAAATGAGTTAGGCTTTATTTACAGTGCAGAGAGGTGAATCAGAGCCATGAAGCAGACAATGACCGCATTCGTTTCCCATAGTGTTAAAAATCCATGTAAAACTACGCCTGTAACCCTGGTGCCTCATTCTTTGTAGCTGTTGCAGAACGTCTTAATCCACTTCATATAAACCCAGGAACTTGCCTAGCTGTGGTCCTTAAAAGTCCGTGCTGCTTTTGGTGACTGCAAAGACACTGCCCTTGGTGTACTTACCAACCTCCAGTCTGTGACTGACATTTGACTGATCTAATGTCCACCTCAAGTTTCAGCAGTAAAAGTATTCATTGCTCTAAGGGGATGTAGGGTGCTGCTGCACCTGGTTAAGAGCCTCTGTGGTTTGGCTCTGAACAGGGGGAAACGGTGCTGCCCCACACACACAGCTTCAGGGTGTGGGATGCCCTACAGATGGGTGAAAGGGGGGCTTCCTTCCCCATGGGTTGCTGCGTGTAGCTTACGTTCAACACACTTTTTGGTAATGCCAGGTAGAAATATCCAAGTTGGCTTTGTCTCTCTTGTGTTGCACACCTCTTACTACAGCTCTGCAGGAGGGCAGGTGAGTAGCGAGGGGTCTGGACAAACATGGGAGACTGGAGGGAGGAGATACTTAAGATAAAATGGTCTGCAGAAATGTTCATTAGGGTACGGGGGCTGTGTCAGTGTCCCACATGGACTGAACACCCATGTTTTGTGGCTCACTGGCAGGCCTGAACTTCTTCAAGCCAGAGTCCCAGGTTCAGGTTTATCTTTCCCCTCTTGCATTTAGCTGCAAATGCTGCGGGGTGGGGCACGCAAGAAAAATCCTGAAGTTGAAATAAATTTCAACTTATATAAGAAAAACAAACAAGCAAACTCACCCAAGGCTGCCTAGAGAACACTGCTGTAGTTAATGTTATTAGAACAACCACTTTGTTACAGAAAAAGCATTCACCCGCTCTCCCCCTGAGAGCTATTGCCACGCTCTCATGGTGCACTTGTCCATAAGAGGGGCTATGAGCAAGTGGGTAAACATTGCCCCAAGGAGGCTGTCCCATCCTGGCAAGAAAAGATCCACAGGTCTTTGGCATGGGGGAGACCCCAGCTCTGTGGGGCCCTGCTTCGGCAACACCTGGGAGGCAGAGCAGGGCCAGCTCTGGGGAAAAGCCTCTTGCTGTCCGAAGATGTCCCACTGCCCCCTCTCAGAGCAAAGAGTCAGTGGGATGGAAAGAAGGACATCATTGCATGCTTCCACAAACCCCAGGCAGCTCCAGGGTGGCCTGGGCCCCCTGGGGGCATGCAGAGCAGAGCATGTAAATCCATAAGTTGCCTTTTTTGAATTGGGAAAGACAATGAAGACATGCGTTTGCAACATAGCTTCTTAAAAGAGCCCCCTAGAAATAGCAGCAAGGGCATCATAGCTGGGATTTGAAGCACATCAATGTGTGCAGCCATGCATGGCATAGACCATGCATGTTGGGAAGCAGGCTCTCATGACAGTTTTGGTCCTGCCTTGGTGGTGCAGCTCGGCTGGACCAAGGCTTTCAGAGAGAAGGCCTCAACACCTGCTGAGGAGCTGATCTCATTGCTCAAGAAGACAGAGAGGGGATGTCCTGCCAAGTAGTGCATAAGTTTGCACTAATGTCCATCCTTATTGTTTTAGCGGTTCCCACATTTTCTCCTCATGGGCTTGTAGGGAAGTGATCAGCGTAGCAGCCAGGAGGCTCCATCCAGGTCCTTTCACTGGGAAAGCCCTTTAATCTCTTTCATGGCTTCCCAGGGGTAAGAGAAGGGCAAACTTGCTGCTTGCGGTGCTGAGTGAGCTGCTGGAGAATCAGGTAGGATTTCTTGTCAGTGAACACCATAGAAACAGGAGCTTTCAAAAGCATTGTTGTTCTGTCTTGAGGCATTAGAAATATTTGTGCTCAGGGCGGGCGGGTGCTGAGTCCCATGTGGGAGAACTGCATTCCCTAGCAAGGATTTGGGATTCTTCAGTGGGCTGTGTTTTGCACACAAAATAATAATTAGACGAGTTCCCCGGGCCCAGAAATTTATCTTAATGCAGTATGT